TGCAAATAACAACAAAGAGATTGCGCGACTGCTGATTGAAAAAGGTGCTGATGCCAATGTATGTGATAAGGATGGCAAAACTTCTTTATTCAATGCAGCTGGAAATAGAAACGAAGAGGTTGCACGACTGTTGATTGAGAAAGGTGCCGATGTCAATGTATGTGATAAAGATGGCAAAACTTCTTTATTCAATGCAGCTGGAAATGACATCAAAGAGGTTGCACGACTGTTGATTGAAAAAGGTGCTGATGTCAATGTATCTGATAACAATAAAAGAACTCCTTTATTCAATGCAGCTAAAAATGGCAACGAAGAGGTTGCACTAATGTTGATTGAGAAAGGTGCTGATGTCAATGCTTGTTCCAAGTTTGGAAAAAATCCTTTAACCAGAGCACTTGAATGGGGCAACGAGGACACTGCAATGACATTGATAAACATGGGTGCCGATGTCAATGTTTGTAACAAGCATGGAGAGATTAAAAGTCTACATATTGCTTTGGATCATGAAAGGTATAAAGTTGCAAAACAACTGTTGGAATTAAACCCCGCAGATATGGATATTGAAGACTCCAATGGTCGAACGGCCATATTTCATTTGCTAGGGGTATATGTGAACGACGATATATACTATGACATTGATGATAGACTAGAACTTATTCGCAAAGTGGCTTTTTTTTGCAGTAATATTGATAAGAGGGATAACCAAGGTCGAACTGCGCTCTCTTATGCCATCGAGAGAATGACTGAAGATGAACGATATGAATGTTTGGCACAAATAATCATTGACGCTGGTGCTAATGTTAACTTAGCAGATGATAAAGGACAAACACCCTTGTTTTATGCATTGAGGCCTTCCGCCGTACGCTTGTTATTAGGAAATGGTGCAGATTTAACTCTTCGGAATAAACAACAGGAAACCGTCTTGATTCATATTTTGTCTGGAAAAGATAATTTTCAAGATGACATATATTTCGACTACGACGAAGGACCACATTTATGCGAGCAGTACGTTAGTGCAYTGCTYAATTACGTAGACGMTACTTAYGTAAACGCAAGAGACATSTATGGCAGAACAGCTATGTTCTMTGCAGCTACAACAWTTGATGATAGTAAAATGTTTGAAGTTATAGCGACKAWGCTTGTTCGYAAGGGGGSTGTTGTAGRCGATACCGATAATAASGACATGAGCGTTTTWTCGTATTTCGTTGAGAGACATTKTTGCAACAGTTTTAAGGATAAMAKAAATGTTTCAGAAAGACTATCATTTTTTATCAAGAATGGCATGCGTAATTCAGCAATCTTCACCTCAGCATTGAGCTATTTGTATGCTATATTACCAAACTACTTCGACAGTTCTAATATAGTGCATAGAAGGGAGATATTCCGGAAAGCTATATATGTTGCATACACATATGCTAGCACTACAAAAGATGAGCAATGTATAGATTCCTTAAATGTACTACTCGACAAAGCTGAAATACCAGAAGCTCTGGACGCCTTGAAGAGGTTAGGTGTCAATCCCAACAGTGCAGATTCGTATGGAAATACTGCCCTTCATTATGCTACTCTGCTTCCATTCCATGGGGTATCACAAGACAACGTAAAGAAAGTACTGAAGACGCTTAGAAACCATGGGATACGAACCAACATCAAAAATCAGGAAAAAGAGACGCCTCTACATTTCTGTCTTTCAAAACAAGCATGGAAACTAGCAAGCGAAAAAGACACTTGCAATGGAATCATGACAGTGGTGGAGATTTGTGAGTTTCTTCTACAAGATGGTTCGCTCATTAGTGAAATAACGAGAACTGGGGAAACAGTGTATCATTTAATAATGAACTTGTTTCAGAGGGGACTATCTATGAATGATAAGGAAATTCGGAATGTCATTTGTGACAATGCCGTACGACTGCTTGAATTGTTTTCCAAAACAAGTGGTGAACAGTTTAAGGTATTACAGGATCACAGCCTGAACTCTCCTCTTCATTTATGGGCTTCACTTTCTCTTCCCCCAAATCAAAACTATGCAGAACGTTTAACGAAAGGCTTTACTTTTCAAGATCTTCTTGACACCATATTCAAACACTTATGGAAGCCCGGAATGTCGCCAAACCCAAGGAATGTTCAAGATCAAACACCTCTTCATCTTTGCAAGACATGGACCGCCGCCAAACTTTTAATAGAAGCAGGAGCAAATGCAACTGAAGTCGATAGAGAGGGACAACGTCCTCTCTTAAATGTTGCAAAACAGAAACAGTTCAAGATTAAACAGGGTTATTTCTTTCCGGACGTTGAGGAAGACCCAAAACATTTCTTCGAAACGTGTGTGTCATTAGGTCTTGATATATGGAGTTCTGACCATGAAGGGCAATCCATGCTTAGCATCTTCCTGGATTCCGAGGCTTATGCATTGGCAAAAGCTTTGATCGATGTTGCTGTTGCAAAATGTGAATCACCCACAATCGTAAAGCAGTTGTTGGATGATATTTGCAAAGATCAGTCCACAAGTACGACTTGGAAAAGTCTTCTGACTTTAACGCTCCTAACCTCACCACAACTTGCCTCTAACACCAATCTCGATAGGTCACTCCGCCACATTTGCACAAATATTGAAAAGCATGTGCTGGAACAGCAGCAAGAACRGAGTGTTGGAATTGAAGAAGCTAATGAATCTGATGATCCCCCAAATAAGGGATCGAGAATTGATGATACTGAAATTCACAGCACGCCAAAATCGAATGTCTTTTTTGATATTGGAAGGCAACTACTGTTTTATGGAGCTGATGGCAACAGCTTGTGTAACGATTTCCCATACCTTCACTCCTTTTTGACGGCCGTAATAACTCCAGACAAAATGAAGGAGATAATTCCATGGACTTCGCATTCCATAAGACATGAAAACAAGCTTAGAGCAGTGTCGAGAAAGAAAAACGCTGAGATAGGTACCTACTACTATCATGAAGAACCAATAGGTAAAGGAGGCTTCAGCGACGTTTATGCTGGAATATGTGAGAACGATGGAATGGAGGTTGCAATCAAGAAAATAAAAAGAAATCAAGTGAAGGGACAAGATAAAAGAGAGATAAGTAATCTTGTAGAWTTAGCAGACTGTCCACAAGTCGTGAAATACATCTCTTTCGATGTCAGTGATAATGAATTTGTGTTCATTGTGTTAGAACTGATGGAGGGGCATCTAGACGACTATTTTTCAAGTCCATCGTTTGATGCAAGTCGAAGACAAAGATTGTGCCGTGACGTTGCAGAAGGCCTGGCATATTTACACCAGCATAAGCCAAATCCTATTCTTCACCGTGATCTCAAACCAAAAAACATCCTTTACAAGTTTGATGAAGATGGCAAAGTTATCGTTAAGATAGGAGATTTTGGTCTCAGTAGTCCTCTCACGGCTGACAAGACAACTGTTCTTCACTCCGAAGTACTAGGTACCCGTTGCTGGACAGCTCCAGAAGTGATGCTTTTTCAGCCGCACATGCATTCTTCATCGTCTGACGTTTTCTCTTTTGGACTCGTGTGTCACTACATTCTGTCAACGCAAAAACATCCATTCAGCCCAGTAGATTGTACTAACAAATCCGATGAAGTTATTACACGTACAACAGAAGACAATATGTTGAAATACCAAATGGATGGATGGGATGATGCACTCTCTCCTGAAGCCACGCATCTCGTCAAAGACATGCTTCAAAAAGATGAAAGCAAGCGACCATCTGCTGCCGATTCATTACATCATCCATTTTTTTGGTCCAACAAAAAGAAGATGGATTTCCTAATTGCTGTTAGCAATCAGTACGAGTTTGAGTGCCCATCTACTAGCAAAAGAGCCTCTCATCATATAACCACGGCAGTGAAAGATCATCTTGAAAAYAACTTTGCTAACATTGTACGATATGCAAAGTGGGATGATCCTAATTACAAAAATGTGGCAAAGATTGTTGCTGAGGTGAAGAATCCAATCGTTAAAATCAACAGAAAGGGAAAAACCTACCCCCAAAACCCAAGAACCTACGATACTAGTTCCGTGGTTGAGCTAGTTCGTTTCATCAGGAACGCTATCWATCAAGTGTCTGAGCGCAGTCGACCTCCTGACATTAGGAAACGGGTTCTTGAGGACTTTGTATTTTTGGATGAATTCCCACATCTACTGATAGAGGTCTATAAAGCTGTGACTGCACATGGATGGGACAACAGCGAAGAAATAAAGTATGCTATTACTGATAGAGAGCCATATTCAAGCGAAGAAATAAAGTACTCATATAAATTACCACATGAATTAGAGTATAACTTAGAGACAATAGAAGGACAGCCAGCTGTGAAGAAAGAACAAGACGAGATGATCCAAGGCCAATCAGGTCTGCAAAAAGAGCAAGAAGAGGCGATACCAAGCCAGTCAGGTCTTAAACAAAGACAAGAAGAGATAATCAACCATAAAGACCTGCATCAAGGACATAAATGGTTAATTCCACAAGTGAAAGAGACAATTCAAGGCCAGTCAGGTCTACAGCAACGACAAGAAGAGATAGACAAAATCCAGTCCCGTCTACAAAAAGAGAACGAAAGTATAACGCAAGATAGGAATGAAATTCAACAAGAACGACAAGAGATAATTCCAAGGCAGTCAGGTATAAAAAACGAACAACAAGAGGAGCTCAAAGGTAAGCAATCAACATCGAACAATTATGTCTATTCAGTCCAAAAGGGAAAACACTAGTATTGCGCTGAATATCATCGTTTTCAAATTATTATGACATTTTACCCGTCCGACATTTTTCCTTAGTATATATACGAAATAGCTTTTGACATCCATTTTGGCCGTCAAATGAAAACGATTTCATAGCTAGCTTTCGTAATTTTGAGTACGGAATTTTGAGTAACATTCTTGGTAGAATATTTTGTGTAAACAATTGCCCAAGTTAATATGTTGACAATTCCTCGACTTAGACAAGTACGAATACAAGCTTGCTATGTGATTTTTAATAGGAAATATCAACAGAAAAACGGCTATCGAGAAAAAGTCGGACAAAGAAAYCAAAGACGAGGATGCTTGTAGTGGATCTGAAAGGTATGTTTGTTGTCAATCACTTAACTGTCAACAAGTTTTAAAACTACTGACAACAACAAAAAGTTTGGCTGTATGTAGCTGACATTTATTATGTRCATATCMATGAGATACCAGGTTTACTTTGAACCATGAAAAGATATCATATCTTTCACATGTGAAGATAACACTGTTTGCATGGTGACACTTCTTTTTTCGGTCAATTAGATCAATATTCGCTACGCTCATTCCTGAAATATCGATTGAACACCCAAAGATACTATTAGTATTTCTGCGCGTCCATGTAATATTCTCTATATATAAAGAGTCGACATTGAATAAGAAGAAAAAAAACCTTTAAAAAAAAAAACAAACCTTTATTACATAAAACAAGAACATAAAAGTGTGGTGCAGATTCTAGGTTTTCATCACATTTTTCCATCAGACATCCCTATCATTACGATAAGAATTACTTATAAGCCACTAATTTGATATACTGAAATTCAATTTTAGTGGCCAATCTACATCAGAGGAACAAGACTTGGAGCGTGCTCAGTTCCAGAAGATGTTAAAAATCCTCTCCAGTAAGGACGACATACTTGGAGGTATTCCGACACATGATACAGGCAATGGAAATGCAATTTTATATGGTCAAAGATGACATGTGAAGAAGTACTATCGCGTTGATGATTGTCTAGTCATTTCCATTTTACCTTTGGTTTTACACTCAGTTTGAAAAGAACAAAAAAACAAAACAAAACAAAACAAAACAAAACAAAAAATAATTCCATGTTTAGGAAAGCGTAGCATTTATTAATTCAGATTTTGTTCATTCTTACATAAATCTTTCACTATTAATTAAAATATAAATATATTTTCAATAATCTCAAATTTGTTTTTAGACAATGTCAGCAGTAAAACGCATGTTGAAAAAAGTACTCAAAAAGGTGAAGAAGCTAAAGATGAGAACAAATTGCAAAAACAGAGCGACGAGGATGACTATGTTGAATCTGAAAGGTGTGAACGATATTATATGATATGATATTATTGACAAATCATTGCAATCATTCAAACAAACAAACAAACAAACAAACAAACAAACAAACAACAACTACACAACAACAAAAACGATCCCAAATGTGCACGGATGCACGTTTTGCATGCAATTAGGTGTCAAAAAAATTGTCATCACCTCACTAGAAAATATTCATTATAGTCTAATACAGACATTCAACATTTAGCTGGTAGGAATTGCAGTTTACATAAAGATATTTTTCGAATCTCTTTTAGATCAGAGGGGCAAGACTTGTTCCAGAAACCGTTCCAGAAAATACTTAAAATCCTCTTATGTGATGACAGCATAACTGATAACGATGCCGATGAATACMTAAGGGCARTGAAGGRTTKTTCACGAGRTRATGTTTGGAAGCGTGCATTTGAAGGCTGCTGTAGTACTACTGGTGCTGATTGGAAACGAACTTTTGTWKATACCATGCGMAAMATTTACCAATTCYTTRGTCCCRAATTAGCAGWATACAAGAGCAACAATCCGCRAGAGTCGATCACAGACCTGACTTTTCTGGCTCATGGCGAAGTAAGGGCTCCACATGTACCATGCACATTGCACCACTWTAATTCTTTTGTACAATCAATTACCAYTTACGTTCCCTGGGGTTGTGGTCTTGATGCCTCTGCAGCATACGGCATAGCAACAGGTACAATACGCGTAGATCAKGTCGACTTTGATGGCGCRGTTCTTCCARAAATTCCTAAYAGCTGGTATAMTTTACCGSCCGGAGATAATACTTGYATTCCAAATGTTGTCTTCACTCAAGTGGCCGAAAACGRAGACCCTGCATACGAMGAGCTGAGAGCTATCCATGACAGGTTCCAAGAACGAGCCCGTGGTTGTTTTGTAGCATTTCTTCCAAATGATTTACATCTTCCAGAGATACCGCTTTGGTATTTATGCTGTATGGTAGGAGTTATTGGTCGASWGSAAMATGTGACCTACAGAATCCATATCGCTTCTTGTTTGCATCCTAGAGATGACAATATTTTGACACATTCTATTGATCCAATGGGATTGTGGCCTACAGTAAACAGCAATCCGTACTGCAGTGTTTATATTAGTCGTTTTCATTCGACTACCATGAGAATCCGCGCAGACCGCATAGCTGACATACCCGATGATATTCGCAGCGGATTTGATGAGTTTAATAATTATTATAGTTTGGTAAGTGGTCACCCTCTTCCAGAAACAGAGGATGTGCAAATGCAAGATGATCAACAATAGATCAGYAACTAAAAGCAGCGAAGACACAAAAACGCGTCAATACCACTAAGTTCTATTCTGATTGATAGCAAGGACTTATGGTAAAAACATTTATTATAATAAAAAATAGGTTTCGAATTATATATCAAAATAATATGAGTTTCAATGATTCGATAGCATGCATCTTTGAAGTATTTTTATATCTCTCCATAAGCATCGATAGAATAGAGAAACATTATATTCAACTTGRTAGTTATTTGGGAAATTATAGATGAATCCAGATATGACAGTAGACGAAAACATTTTGTATTTCTTTCTTASCTCTGTCATGTAAATTCTAAGGGTCGTACTTTCTTTAAAAAGTATAGAGTACTGGTTGTAAAGACCAAACGTTTTTTCAGAATCATTTATTAGGAAGGGTGCGACCCTCGCAAATGTTTTTTTGTGTCCAAACAATATATTTAAATTATATTCAAATTTAAATTTTAACCTTTATAATTTTATAATTAGTAGAGTAGGTTGTATAGTAGTTTTAATGATATTCATCTATATTCAATCTAAATCGGCAATGGTAAATAACCACGCAATTCAATGCGCATCTGCAGAGTACAGTACTTCAGTACCCGCTTATAAGAACCCATTTTTCAAACTTAGCCTAAATGGGTTCTTATGTAAATGGTGCTTAGTGGAATTTTAGGCTACGCAGGTTATTAAATATAGGTTCTTATTTATCACTTATGTAATGAAAATTTACAAGGTTTTCAACATTACTTATACCAAATTTAGAAATGTATACATGTTCAAGCTCACTGCAGTTTGATATTATATTTTTCATAAAGAATTCTTTAGGTTAATTTCTATAAGAACCTGTTTCAAATGTTAGGCTAAATAGGTTCTTTTGTAAATGAGTTTAAATGGGGTCTAATTTGATATTTTAAGGCTAACTGGTTCTTAAATTGCAGGTTCTTATAAGCGAGTAAGTACTGTAGTGCTTTATAAATCTATCTATCATAATGATCTTTATCACGTATGCTCCGAAATACTCGTTATTGTTAAATGACATTTTGTAGGACTTCTGGTAATAGCAAAGTAAACGTTACAAGTGGATTAGGGAAGGCCAAGGCTAGGTATGGGTGGTCGCGCCTGTAACGAAGATCGGCCAGGATCGGGAGTCGCCGTAGTTCACGCGTCCAACCATGCCCAGCCTGGCAAATAGCATGAATCATGAATAATGGTAAAATAGATGCTTTAAGAAAGTATTTGTGGAAATATTTTAAATTGGAGAGCTATATGTGGTACCATCAGCCAGGGACACATCCCTCATGGGATGCCACAAAACCAGACAAAACCAACCATTCCCAGAAAGTTCTAATCCCAGGAAAAGGAAAGGATTGGCTGCAAATTGGTGTGAGGTAAATTTTAATACCCCAGGTAAAACCSAAACACTGTCTGATTGTAGCACATATAAGCCGAACAGATTTGTAGAAGAAGTTAGGATAGAATTGGACAGAATAGAATCGAATGGAATTGAAGAACTGAGATCACAATAAAAGAACCAAAGAACACAGAAGTTATATTGAATCCACGGTTCCTAACAGTATTAACTGCTTCATTGTAATATAAGACAATGTGCATAATTTTATTCAACGATATTCTAAATAAAAACACTGTATAGAGTAAAGCATGCATAGCTTTAATGGGGTTGGGGTTTGGTATTAGCAGTAGTAGTACCCATAGCAAAACCTTTTCAAAAGAGGTTGTCAGAGCGGAACGGAGATTGCACGACCGAAAGTCGTTGAGGATATTCCCTTTTTGATGAATAATACTCACTCACCTCCAGAAAAACACGTGCGAACGAAACAAACCATGCTTAAAGTGCGGGTACGATGAAAACCCAACATCGAATTTGAGCTGTTTTTGTACATATACCTCTTTATGAAGATCCAAATAAGTATTTCTGAGAATTTTTTTATCGATACATCATCGAAAAGCAGGAGAAATCGAGCTTTGAAAGTCGGTTTTTTCCTATCCGCCATTAATCTGAGCCGAAGTGACATCGGTTGGCGGTTTTACCCAAACGTGAAGCATATGACGTCATATGCTTAACCCAGGAACGAGGTTGTTCTTCAGACATACAAAACTTAGGGGAAATGAAGGTTTGAAGCGTATAAAATAATGAAGAAACAAAGTCAGGAGCATCGAATCAAACGTTTTGTTATGTCTCTGAGATCTTCCGAGTTCAAATGCAGTCGTTGAAAAAATTATAGTGATGTATTTCGGCATATACCAAACACATCCATCCGCTCTTTGAAGACATATCATTGAGATGGGGAGCACACGGCCAGTTCAATTCCCAGATTTGTAGACATCCTAAAGTTTATCATAAAAGTAAGTTTAGTCTTCATAAGTTAAGACTCCAGTCATGCTACAGATAAGTTCGGCTTTGCATTTGAATTAAAACTGTTGATTAAGAACTGAGTACAAAATTATTATCACCACGCGTAATGTTAATATTGAATTCACTATCATGAAGTCGTAATTTGTTGTTGATATCAATGAAAAAGAATAATTATTTAAAGTCTTTAAAAATGCTCTCCAGTAAAACGATATACTTTTTGTCCTTTTGGGGCTGAGACGCGAAAGAAAATTGGCAGCTTATACTTGCTTGATCAGGGAGTCAATATGAGTACTGTGTCGATAATTCACTAATTCACCTCAAAACATGGTTTGAATAGCCGTTTATCTTTAAATGTTTCAGAGCAGATACACTACAATGTAAATAATATGCCTATCAGTAAAGAGAAGAATTGTAAAATAGTGACAACATGACAACAATCAGCAAATGTGCGAAGGTGTTATTTATTGCAAACCGGCCGCTACATTGCGTCGGATTCTAGATAGCGATACAAGTTGATGTCGATAAAATTACTGAACTCTAATTGAAGATTATATCCTTCTAAACGATTAGTTCCCTCTTCCAACTACTCAGTAGCACGACCAAGATAACGAAATTCAATTGCAAAATATCTTAATATCTCAAGAATAATTATTTAGCAATCAAACCTTCGCCCTTGTTTGCTTGTTGTGCTTTTGACAACAAAACTTGTCAGACAGCCACGTCTCATTCACAAACAGAAAACTGAGCTGTAACATCAGATAGAATATACGTATGGAGTCAGTGATAAATGTTCAATACAGCTAATAACGTAAGATAACAGTTTGTGCCAA